TTTGTATAAAGTAACTCAGTCACTTGAGAGGTGACATAGCAGATCAATAGGGAAAGGAAGTACTTTCCATCAAGTGGTACTAGAAAAATTATGTATTAGTCTATTCAAGTACAACTATCCCAGTTAATGAAAAATTCACTTCCAGACCCCAGGAAAGGTAGTTAGATAAGAATGCAGTACTACCTTTAAAATAGCCATAATACTGGAGGTGACGGTACATAAAGTCTTCATAAGGATCAAGAAGAGCCTGTGAAAGAAAAGGCCAACTCAATCAGAATCGTCCTTTGGACGGATAATAAACTCTTAAAAAGTACACAAGCATTGTTGCATTGGGCAGTGTACTTGAGAGCTTCTGTAAACAATACAAGTGAAAGACATTCATGCACATTATTCTGTCTTGGAGATCAAGACCTCCAGCTGGATAAAGGTGCCACCAGAATATCCCTTCTGATCTAGTACTGGATTTCTGCGGAGTTCCCGGAGAGGAGTGTGTACCGACCTTCTGCTTTAGGTCTGTTTCCAGTGCTGGGAACATGTTACTTCTGCATGGTATGCTGGAGACCAGTCAGTGACACTGGCGTGCAACTGCAACTCCTGCCCAATTTCCAAATAAGAGGCTGATTACACAGGAGACGCTACAAAGCCGAACAGGACAAGTGAAAAAACGCTCGATAGCTCTCCTCCCCGCACCCCACCTCCGGCTTTCCCTTGACATGAGGAAACCCTGCCATCCCAGCCTCTCCTCAAAGAAAGACCCGCCTGGTGGTTCCCACCATGAGGCTGGGAGGCGCACCTGAGGAGTCAGGGAAGGCTGTCTTCCCGCTTCTTCCCGAGGTGCCAGGCCCCTTGCTGGCCCCATGTGTCCCTCTCCCTGAGGAGGGAGAAGCCCGCCACCAGGACGCTACGGGAAACTGAAAGAGGTGGGGGTAGATGGAAAAGAAAGGTCAGGGGTCGGGAGAATGGGCCCTGAAAAGGGAATTCAGGGGTCCCGAGCTGTTTGGTCCCATGGGTCGAAAGAAGTAGGGGAAGCAGAGATTTCGAAACCTAAGAGGGCAGACGAAAGGTGCGACCACCTCCAAGCCCCAGCCTGTCCCGGGCAGCAGGGGTGGGCGAAGCGCCCGCGGCAGCAGAGGAGCCTGGGCTAGGCGGAAAGCCAGGCATGCATGGTCCAGGGGCCAGGCTGTGCACCAGAGAGAGGACACGCTGCAGCGCGCTCCAGTCACCGCTTTCTGTGCGGGCCAGGGTAGCCTAGCAACCGCGAGCAGGAAGCGGGAAGGCGGGGCGGCCACGGGTTTCCGGGGAGCTGGGCTCCGCCCCCAAGGAGGAAGTCAGGAGCCCTGGGAAGGTTAAGGTTGGTGGGCGACGTGATTGAGACTCCTTCTTCCTCCTTCATACATTACACCCCCAATCTGGGGATTGAAATCGTACTGATGAGTACAATGCCAGTAGTCTTCAACGTATATCCAAGCTCGTTTGCTGTTCCTTAGCTTTAGGTAACTTATGCTTTGCTCTAAGGGAGCTGCTCTTCTTTCACCTCATGTTTATTTTCTCCACGCCGCGGTCAGAACAGAAAAATTACCTTCTACATTGAAAAACTACAAGAAACAAAGTTAGCAAATAAACACCACGCATTTCGACTTATTAGTTTAAAAAAATTTTAATTAGATGCATAGAAATATACTGGAATAAAATTCAAATTATTGTCTTTGGTTAACTTTATATGAAGATAACCCAAAGCATCTATTATTTTTAGAATCAAAGTGGGAAAGAAAAGCTATAAAGCACCTTTATTTTTTAACCACATTACATCAGTTCCAGGACATAAGTAGGTCAAATAATAGTTAATATTACAGAGTATAACCAAAAACTTAAGTCACACAGCACCATCTGGTGCTGTAGGCCTGTTTTCTAACCCTGCCCCACCAATCCCCTAAATTCCTGCCCAAGATCTTGATGCTCTTTTCCTGAAAGGTGTTCCTCAATTGGTTTGCACATGCCCTGCACTGTATTCAATGAGAAAAAACAATTAATTGACTTAAAATAAGTCCTGGTTACATAATCAAGGGTAACAGGCTTTGAAGAGCAAAAGGAAAACCAAGCAGAAGTATAAAAAAAGCTTTATTAGTGCATATATACAAATTTACAAGGTCAGAAACTGGAGAAATACAAACAGCTTTAAAACACAATTTGCCTTTTCTTCAGTTTAAAGTGACTTTTACCTGATTGTGGTACAACAGAAAGTACAGAACAGTAAACTGCCTTTTAAATACTGGAATTTTATGTAGAATACATTCACACAAAGGGAGGTGATTTCAGACCAGGGTAAGACAATGGAAACACACTGATACAGAGTGGCTTTTGTTGCATTTACTGTCACATACACGAGGGGAAAATTCTCAAAATCAAGGATATAATACAAGCTGCTGTTTCTGCTTGTATTAAAATTCAAATATGCCACCTAGTGTGTGAAATGACTGAGCTACCAGTTCTAGAATTTGTGAGAAAGACGAAAGAATGTGGCCATCTCTCAGCACAAGGTAAACCACTTGACATACCTCTGCACTTCAGGTGGAGGAGACTAAAGGAAGAGGTCAGAGAGAGATCCTGACTATCTCAGTGAAGCAAGGTCGAATACAGAGCTGCCGTATGAATTGCACTTGTTTTGGAGTAGAAGTTAATGAGAGCATGTGCCACACTAGAACTAAATGAACCTCTATTAGGCAGGAAAATTCTTCACTTTTTGTCAATGAGCCCTCTACGGAAGTGTCAGACGCATGTGCCACATGTTTCTCAAGACTGATGAGGTTAATATACCTAACATGCTAATTTTGCCAGTGTGAGAATAAAGGCAGCCAGGTTAAAGCAATTCCAATCACCTCACCTTTCAGCAAAACAGAAAAATTACATTTCACAAGGGTGAAAACTTTGTATGCGTATGTTCTTGTCTAGGAAATTTATATGGTCTCCCCCATAACATTTATAGTTTATTTGACAACAGTAAAACTGGTTAAGACTCTGAAATGAACACAAATTAAAAAATTTCTCTAAATTTAAAAAACTATGTGTTTGGAGCCATTTTCCTTCTCTTCAGTCTTGCTCGCCAATCCTCAGGAAGGGCTTCAAAATTAGCATTTCTCTCAGCCATGCCACTGTGAAAACAACATACAGATTACTTCACTGGAAAGAAAAAGAGCAAAACTGTTCATTTCCTAGCAATTAAAAACCTCTAAAACGGAAAACCTGATCTATCACATCTATGTTTATGAAAATCTTTTAAGTTTATCAGCTAAATGTAAGTCTATTCTTCAAATTTTTAAATTCTGATAGGCCAACCAAACACATATATCCACATTCTCTGTTTATGTATATATATTAAGTGCATATTTATTTTCTATAAATATATCTCCAATAACCATTAAAGCCACACTGAAAGAATAAAACATCTTCTTATTAAAGTTTTTGTTAGCCCATAGGAGTTATGATTCTTCATGGCAGGTATATTTAACCTTGAATATGCCATCAGTGACCCTTGCAACTAATGTTTCTCTTTTGAGCAATTTTATTTGTAAGGATTAAAACTCAAATTTTATCTTGCAATTACCAGAATGGGTGCATTGGACGCTTTTATAAATATAAATTAAGTTAGAAGCTATCAGAGGTGAATTTGAAATCTGGCATTGGTATTTATGAGACGGTTATGTTCCAGGATTATGCACTGACAACTGATGAAACGTTAGTTGCATTCACAGAACAGTGCCTATTTCAGTATAAATGCCTTCAAAAATGGAATAGAAATGTGGATTTGCTTTGTTTAAATTCCTTTTTAAAAAAGGCTAGACCATGATTTTTATAGAGAAATAGACATTTCTATGAATTAAAAACTGTTTAAGTTTATAAAGAATAGCAAAAATTAAGGGTTGTGATCTTAAGACTGTAACTGTTCTAATACAACAACAACCACAATCTATCCCATCTATGATCCCTTTTCTTTTACCTAACGAGCTGCTGCTGTTTCCACTCTTCAATTCGCTTCTGTGCAGTTGATTCCCGGTCTTCTTCACTAGAACTAGAATTGTCCTCTTCATCTAACTCACGCTGGATACTCTGCCACTTCTTTACCAAAGATGGCATTTTGGTTTTACTCTTCTTTGCCTGTAACAAAGGTTAAAGGTCAGAGAGAATATAATATATAAAGACATGAGTCTTTTTTTTTGGAGTCAGAGTCTTGCTCTGTTGCCCCAGGTAAGAGCGCAATGGTGCCATCATAGCTCACTACCACCTCAAATTCCTGGGCTCAAGCAATCCTCCTGCCTCAGCCTTGGTTACCAAGAAGCTGGGACAACAGGCATTCACCACCACGCCCGGCTAATTTCTTCTATTTTTTGGTAGAGACAAGGTCTTGTTCTTGCTCAGGCACCATGGTCTCCAACTCCTGAGCTCAAGCAATCCTTCCACACTGCTAGGATTATAGGTGTGAGCTGCTGCACCTGGCCTAAGAAATGAGTCTTAAACACTGGAGATCAAGATTTTTTCCTTGTTCTAAGGAGTAAGTGGACTTTAAAACTCAATTAAAATAACACATACAGAAAATAAATACTATTCTAAATTCTTGCCAGAAATTTCTACCAACTATAAACCAAAAGGGCTGCTTAAAAACACCTATAAAATTATAAATGTATCAATGATTAGGTTTGTCCTGAGAGAAGATACAATAAATTTTATTTTTCTTCTTTGGCCTTATTTTCATCTTCTAAATTACCTGTAACAAACATGTACTTTAATAGTAGAAAAACACTTAACATATATATCTTTTCCTTATATGTCTTCCCACACCCACCCCTGCCAGAAGAAAAGCTCTACAAAAGCAAGATTTATGTCTGTTCTTTTTAATAAAAAGTTTTTATTTTTTTATTATTATTATTATTTTGAGACAGAGTCTTCCTCTGTCGTCATCCTGGATAGAGTATAATGGCATCCTCATAGCTCACTGCAGCCTCAAACTCCTGGGCTCAAGCAATCCTCCTGTCTCGGCCTCCTGAATAGCTGGGACTACAGGCATGCATCACCATGCCTGGCTAATTTTTCTGTTTTTAGTAGAGACGGGGTCTCACACTTGCTCAGGCTGGTCTTGAACTCCTGAGCTTAAGCAATCCTCCTGCTCTGGCCTCCCAGAGTGCGGAGATTATAGGCATGAGACACTGCACCCAGTCAGATTTTTGTCTGTCTGATTCACTGCTAAATCCTAACCCCCAGGGAGAATACCTAACAAATATATTAGACGTTGCTAAGACAAATTTTTATCCCTATGTGTCTGAAGAGAAACAGAACCATGTGTATGAAGACCTGACCGGGTTATGCTATAAGCTTGACAGGTAAGAGTAACTGTGACTGAGTGCTGTACTCATGTATGGGGGCTGGAGGTTATTTTCCTGCTTACACTTGGGGCAACAGATTTCTTGAATAAGGTCCCCAAAATTCTGAGACAATAAGCTTAACATTTTCAGTCTTTTTATGTTACTTGCCACCCTTCCTGATACCCCAGTTTGACTGTCATGGATAGTAATTAACTTTCTGGGGAAATGAATGCCCATGTGTCACACTCAGACCTTCAGCTCCCTCCACACACACTCCCCCATATTCAATTCTGTCATTTCGCCTTTGGCACAACCTGTCTTACTGCACACACACCCTTCCAACAAGATCCAACACAGACTATTCTGGGTTAGCATGGAATCAACCAAATAAAAATAAGACAGATTAATAATGGCCACATGAGCAGAGAGGTCACTGGGGTAAAATCTCTCACTTAACATTGATGATTAAAAATTACAGATCTAGGTATAGTTACTGCTGTTTCACTTTGACTTCTATCGAGTCCAGTGAATTTTTAGCATATTTGATTCCCATCTGTCATGGGAAAATAAGTTATGTTTCAGATGTTATGTATGGCCTATGACATTTGAAACCATGGAGCCAAAGAGTTGCACTGGCCATGTGAGCACCCTTTAAATAGGGGAGCATTACAGTCAAAGGAACAAAGATTAAGTGGTAAAAACTCCTTTTTTCCTAGTTTACTTTCTAGTCAACTGCCCATGAAACTCTTTTTTTTTTTTTTTTGAGACAGAGTCTCACTCTGTTTCCCAGGCTAGAGTGCTGTGGCGTCAGCCTAGCTCACAGCAACCTCAAACTCCTGGGCTCAAGCAATCCTACTGCCTCAGCCTCCCGAGTAGCTGGGACTACAGGCATGCACCATCACGACCGGCTAATTTTTTCTATATATTTTTAGCTGTCCAATTAATTTCTTTCTCTTTGTTTTTGGTAGAGACGGGGTCCCGCTCTTGCTCAGGCTGGTCTCGAACTCCTGAGCTCAAACAATCCAACCGCCTGGGCCTCCCAGAGTGCTAGGATTACAGGCGTGAGCTACCGCGCTCGGCCTGCCCATGAAACTCTTTAGCAAAATGATTGAAAATATATAGTGGTCCCAAATATATATATTTTTTTTCTTTTCTTTTGAGCCAGAGTCTCATCTCACTCTGTCACCCAAGCTAGAATGCTGTGGCGTCAGCCTAGCTCACAGCAACCTCAAACTCCTGGGCTCAAGTGATCCTCCTGCCTCAGCCTCCCAGAGTGCTAGGATTACAGGTGTGAGCAGCTGCGCCTAGCCCCAAATATTCTTGACTAGTAGAGGCATTAAGGATTTATTTTTTTTTTTTTAAATAATGGCCTATCATGAAGCCAGGAGGAATGGCTCACATCTGTAATCCCAGCTATCTGGGAGGCTGAGGTGGGAAGATCACCTGAGCCCAGGAATTTAAGACCCTGTCTCTGAAAAAAAAAAAAAATAATTAGTTGGGCATCGTGGTGCAGCTCAGCTATTCAGGAAGTTGAGGCAGGAGGATTGTTTTGAAACCAAAAGTTCAAGGCTACAGGAGCTATGATCACGCCACTGCATTCCAGCCTGGGTGACAGAGTGAGACTTTGTCTCTAAACCGCAACCCCCACCACCCGCCTGCCCAAAACCCAGTATAGTAAGTACTGGCACAAGGACAGGCATACAGATAAATGAAATACAATTAAGAGTACAGAAATAAACCTATGCATTTTATTCAACTTATCTGACAAGGGTGCCAAGCAAAAGAATAAAGTTGGACCTCTACTTCACACCATATATGTTAAAATGAAATCAATGACCTACATATAAATGCCAAGAACTACTAATATAAAATTGTTTTTAAAAAACTGAAAAATTGGACATGTAATTTTTAAAACGTTTCCTTTTCAAAAGACACAATTAAAAAAAAAAAAAGAAGGAAAAGACAGACCACAGACTAGGAGAAAATAGTTGCAAATCGTATGTTATAAGGGACTTGTACCTAGAATATACACAGAACTCTTAAAATTCAACAAAAAGATAAACAAGCCAATTCAAAAATTGGCAAAGGAACTGACAAGACATTTCTCCAACAAAAATAGACAAATAGCCAAGAAAATGAAAAATGGTTCAACATCAGTAGTCATTAGAGAAATGGAAATCAAAACCACAATGATATATACCACTTCAGACCCACTAGCATGGGCATAATAAAAACAAAACCCATAAAAACGGAAAATAACCAGTATTGGTATATACACAAAAGAATTTTAAAAAACTACTCAATACTTGCACATGAATGTTTACAGTGGCCCTATTCATTCATAACAGCCAAAAGGCAGAAACAATCCAAATGTCCATCAACTAACAAATGGATGCAAAAATTGTGGCATATATAACACAATGGAACATTCATTATTCAGCCACAAGGAATGAAGTACTAGGAATACACATGCTGCATGGACAAACCTCAAGAACATAAAGCTAAGTGAAGGAAGTCAGGCAAAAAAAGTCACATATTGCATGATTCCATTTATATGAACTGTCCAGAATAGGTAAAACCAGAGACAAAAAGCAGACTGGTGGTCCCCAGGGGATACGGAAAGGATAATGGGGAGTGACTATTTTATAGGTACAGGGTGTTCTTTTGTGTTAATGAAAATGTTTTGTAACAAGACAGAGGTGTTGGTTGTATAATATTGTGAATGTACTAAATGCTACAGAATTGTACACTTGAAAATGGTTAAATTTATGTTATGTATCACCTCAATAAATTTTTTAATAATAAAAGTTTTTTAACAAGAGAGTTATCATACCTTGTCTTTCTTTCCTTTTTTCGTCTTCTCAGGTGGTGGCACTTTGGGAGCTGGTGGTGGTGGTGGTGGAGGAGGAGGAGGAGGAGGTGGTGGTTCTATAACAGCAGTAGCAGGCACAGCATTTCGGGCCTGGACTGGCTGCAATGATGGAGCAGTCACTCCAATTGGGACAGAACATTCAGCGTAACTCATAATTGTAGGTGCTGCTGCTAGTCCAAGGTAATTTGACTGTAGGCTCATTCCTCTGGCCTGATGGCCCATTCCTGCTGCTGGATGACTAACTGGAATTGTCTGGTGTCCAATCCCTGTCACCTGGTTCCCAATCCCTGTTGCCTGGTGACCTAACAGAAAACATAAAATGATACTATAAAAAGGACACTGTCACAAGAACAGAAGGAAGATAAGGAAAAAGGGAACTGAGGGTTATATTACCTACAAAATGATTCCAATATACTTTTTTCTAAAAAATATAGCCATGTTTGCTAGTAGCAAAATATTCATTTTTTAATACCTTAGCATTAACATGCTTAAACATCAATATCACTGATGTACATAAACGTACAGAAGACAATCTGGAAGAATACATACCAAATTGTTTACAGTGGCTTTTTAGTAACTGAAAGGAATGCATATAAATAGTCTTTGCAATCAAAAGCCTTTAACATTTCTTCAATTATGGCATCTAAGGCTGGAAACAGAAAAAATTACATTGAAAACAACCACACTTTAATCACCATGCTTACCTGTAGTTATAGTTGATTGGCTGTAGAGAACTGGAGAACTACCAATGGTAGCTGACCTCTGAACCACGGCAGTGCTAATTTCTGTAGCTTTTCTCTTTATTGCTTTAGTGGAAGGGGAACTAGAGATGGCAGAATCAACTGAACTCTGAAACACAAACATTCTGGTCAGTGGCTGAAGGCCCTGGTTAAACATACTTTTCTAAAATAAAATGATGCCAATCAAGCTCCAGTCCCCCAAATCATTCAAAATGTCAAAACCCATTACTTACCTGGCTAGTTACAACTGTGGTTGGTGCTGAAGGTTTCAAAGGAGTATCCTCCTCTGTTCCTGGAGCAGGAGGCTCCTCACTTCCCTCATCCTCCATCTCAACCTCCTGGATCTCACCATCTTCTACAGGAGGCGGTGGAGGTGGAGGGGGTGGAGGTGATTCGGGGGGTGGAGGTGGGGGTGGTGGCACTTCCAAGGGTAATGGAGGTTGAAGCACAGGAACATTTGACTGAAGGAGGGTCCAGAATGGAGTAAGTGGCATGAGTGATGAAGAAGAAACTTGACCAGAAAAGGATTCTTTACAAAGAGAACCTATGAAAACAGATAAGAGTTAGGGAAAAAGCAAGACAAAAACTCCCTGACTTCTATTCATAGAAACATTCAATTGATCAATGAGACAAACATCTGCAGGAACCTAGCACAATATGCAAAGAATATGGAAAGCGGTTTCAAACAGCAAGGTCTGGCTCCTGCACCAACAAAAATTTGACCCACAGGCATCTAATTCTACATTGATGCCACTAAAATATTAACTTAGTTCAGAAATGACTTCCAGGAAAGTAAATTTATGAATCTCATACTTAGCACTTCCCCCATCTGTGTTACACTAGTCTTGACCTTTGGGTCCAGATTTATGGATAAGTAAATGAAGAAGATCACACCAACTTAGATGAGAAATTCAGTCATCTGAATCTGTAGTTTGGAGTTTTTGATTTGAAACACTCAGTTTCAGCATATGTAAGTAGAAGGTAATACCCTGGGGTCTTTTTTATTTCAAAAGCGAAGGCGTGAGTGTTATGATGTACATATGCAAATACTGAGCCCCCTGTATTTTATTTTTGAGTGGAGGTGACCCAGAGAAGTATCCATTCAAAACACCCTCAAAAATTCTACCCATTTTGATTATTTTCGGTTATTAGTTTTGGGGTTTTTTTCCCCCAGAGACAGGGTCTTACTCTGTCACCCACTACAGCCTTGAACTCCTGGGTTCAAGTGATCCTCTTGAGTAGCTGGACCACAGGCGCATGCCACCACATGCACAGCTAATTTTTACATTTACAAATGGGGTCTTGCTATGTTGCCCAGGATGGTCTCAAACTCCTGGCCTCGAGTGATCCTCCCACAGTGCTGAGATTACAGGCATAAGCCACCACACTTGGCCTGAGCTACTAAGTTTTTAAAAAAACCCATTTGCTTGATGTCATTAAGTTTTGTGAAAGTCTACAGTGTAAGAAAGATTTTGATACTAACTCTTTGATACAACTCTGCATTGTCCATAGTTCTAATACATTGTATTGACCACCAGTACTTCTATAATGGTGATTGTGCATTCAGACTTTTAAGCATTAAACATATAATACTTCTTTAAAAAAATCCATTTGCAAGGTGCTACTGTCAACTCTATCACTCCTTCACATCTTTGTGTAAACTACATTCATTAGTTCAATCACAGAAACATAAGTTGGAGGTAATTTAGTTTTGTGATGAGAAAAGGGAAATTTAGGAAGACAAATATTAAATGTAAATGATAATTCAGATTTTAAAAAAGAGGTGTTTGAAGACGCAGAAAATTGAAAATCGCTGTTGCTGAAGTTTGAGTTAAGAAACTGCACTAAAAAACTCAGGATCAGCTTTCCTCAAATTTTACAAATGCCAACATTGATTACTGTTCTGTCTCTGCCGGGAAAACCTTTAAAGATTAGAGAAAATAGGAGGATATACTTACTTGTAGCCTTCCCCATCCCTCTTTATCGTCAATAGGGAAGTTTCACAATATATGGGACTATTAGATATATATCCCAGGAATGCTGAAGGGGGTTTTCTCCCTAAAATCATAGAATTTAGGAGTAGAAGAGACATGAGAAATCATCTATTTCAACCTCCTCCTTTAAAGGTAATGAAACCCAGGCAGGAACTGACTTGCCCAAGATCATACAGGTTTTAGTGGCCAGGCCAGGGCCAGAGCCCAAGTATGACTCCTCATCTAGTACTTCCTATTTCACTAAGATTTCCTGGTGAGACATCAGAAATCCAAGAGCTTTAGAAATCTCAGTAAAAAAATAAATCTCATTTCTCGTGGAATAGATAGACAGATGCAGACACCTGTTATATTTCATGGTCAAAATGGTAGATTAAATAAGGTTCAGTTATGAAAGGCTCTAGGGAAGGGATAAGGCCATTTACATGGCTTTTGTTCAAAATACACCAAACTGGCACTCAACAAGGTAAAACCAAAGCGACTATGAGCCATTTGGCTTTTAGAGTAGCTTTACTTTTTGATGGAACAGATAGATAATACATTGTATAACAAAAGACTTTAGTATGATTCATATTATTTCCACAATTATTTTAAGATGGTTGCTTACTGCTAAGGGAAAGTGCACTGGAAAAAAAATTCACTAGAAAATGTGAATGCAGTTTTCCAGCTAAAAAATTTCAAATGACTCATTAAATGTTTTTATTTGGCCATATCTAATATTAATGCATACATTAACTTTTAGACAAATAAAGTCTGATTATGGCCAGGCAGCCTACATTATATAATAGCACATCAACATTACATCAGAACTAAGGCAACAAACATTGAAAATTAATAACTTAATTATTAAAGATGAAACCTCCTTCCTCTAAACTAACCACAACATATGGTAGGTAAGAAAACAAGATTTTATAATATCGGTAGGTTTCTCATCTTGAAGCATAATGCTATACTGATATGATTATGATGGTGACATGCTGCTACACAGAGGAACAAGGAAAAACAGTAGGTTCAAGGTTAATAATGTGGTTTACGACCTCCAACAAAGCTAATCAGAATTAACTAAATCTTGTGTAAATACGATATTAAACTAGACTTGATAAATTTAGCCACATACAAGGAGCATTTTTAGAACACTTGAATCTTGGATCCTTTTGTGGTTGCCTACTTGTGATGATTGGGTTTTCACGTTCATGTATGAGATGTGCCTCTCTCAAACTTTGTTACAAGGTAAGAACTTTACCCCTGTCTGATGTGAAAATAATAATACTTAATCCCAAAGTGTACTCAAGTCTGCAGCCACCCCGCCCTGACCGCGCCGGATCCTGTCTGCCCTCGGAAGCTAAGCAGGGTCGGGCCCTGTCAGTATTTGGATGGGAGACCGCCAAAGTGTACTCAAAACATAAAAGCTATGTCTTAACATCGATAATCATCTCCTTTAGTTTAAACACAATGAACTTCAAGAAATGCTAGTCTGAATATACATGAATATCATATTACAATGATGCTTCTCCTTTCTAAATTTAATCCAGTTGGTACTTTTGCCATTTAAGAGCATGTCGAGGTCTGAAGTCCCAGGAGAGATTAAATGATATACAAAGCTTTTATGTGCTAAAAGGTTTTAAAACTATAAGCTTAAAGATTGAATAGGGTGGGGATACAACTTTTTAATTTTCCAAGAACCTTGTTTTTCTAAGCATCTTTATTTCTATTCACAGGTAGCCTTCCTTTATTTTCCACCAAAGAGAAATTATTGTTTAGTATTTTAAACCAAGAGGCTAGTTTAGCAATTTAAAGTAAAAAATTATATAGTTCCACCATAGAGCTTAAAAAAAAAGCATTTAAATTTAAGACCCAATAAGACAGACTGCCCAGTAAGACAGACATGTTTGATATCGTGAAATATTACTTCATCTTTAGACATGATATTAAATCCAAACATTGAAACAGTATGATTAAAAATGATTGAGAAAGATGAACAGAACTTTGAAACTTCCTTGGCTCCTCATACTATAGTAATTTTGCTTCTTTAAAAGATGGTTTTAGTCACTGCTGAGCTGATCAAGAACATATGTAAACTGTCTTTATAGACTCACAACAGTGATCAATATTGCTCTTAAATCCCACAGGCCTCTGTACAAGGTTTTTATTTTATTTAGATCAAGTTTATCATATGGTTTTAGGGGTTCTCAATAAAGAGATGCTTATGAATATAATCTGGTTTATCAGTGGCTGTTTTTTTGTTTTGGGGAGACAAGTTATTGCTCTGTTACCCAGGCTGGAGTATAGTGGGGTCATCACAGCTCACTGCAACCTCGAACTCCTAGGCTCAAATGAGCCTCCTGCCTCAGCCTCCCAAACAACACGCCACCATGCCTGGCTAATTTCTTTCTATTTTTAGTAGAGACGGGTCTCACTCTAGCTCAGGCTGGTCTCAAACTCCTGACCTCCAGTAATCCTTTTACCGCAGCCTCCCAGGGTACTAGGATTACAGGCATGAGCAACTCCACCCAGCCTGCTTATCGGTCAGTGACTTTTCCTACACCACAACTAGTTTTGTTTTAATCAGACAGGAGTGGCTTGAGATCCACCTCTTACTAGACAGTACCAACCATGCAGGTCATTAATGAGGGGGACAATAGTTTTATACTTAACTCTAATGTGTTCACAGAACATTCAGAGTTGCTAACTGCACAATTTTCAACTTTGGAACATACGAGGAAGGGACATTAGACAGTGACCAGGAGTGGGATCACCTACCCAAAACCACTATCAAGCACCTTCAGTTCATTAACTACTAAAATGCAAACAAACCAAAAAAAAAAACAATCTATTGTTAGACATGTCTATTATTGCTACCGAAAGGAGAAAGTATGCAAAAGAAAATCTCTTTATGAGAAAAGGAGGTGAAATATCCTGTAACTTGAGAAAATACACTTCTGAAATGTGAAGTAGATTAAAACTGCCCTTTTGCTATGTTCTAAAATTGTAACTGCAGTGGTATGTGTCTTTCAATTTAAGGTGATCTGATGATGATTTCCAGGCTTTTTAAGAAGTTAACAAAATTATTTGATACATGACCAGTTTCATTTGGTACATTACCAGAACTTTTCTACTATGATCAGGGAGCCAGTAGAAAGGCATCATTTTTGATAAGCAAAAGACAACAGAATTCAGTTCTTCACTCCCTATGTCATCAACAAATTACATTTTATTTACTTTCAAAAGTCTATTACTTTAGAAACCACACACACACTCTTGCTTTCCTATGCCATCACTTTAACAAACAGCCACCAGTTTTTAAGATTAAAGGTGGTTAATCACAGTCATGGCTACTCACTTATATTTGTCATTCCAAGAAAGATGGACTGAGAGAGAGGAAAATGTATCTTCTTTAATAACGTGGCAATCAAGTTATGGCTTTTCTGAAGAGCTATCAGATCCTCAGAGTAACTGAGGAGCAAAGAAAGCTTTATTTAAAAAAAAAAAAAGTATAACAAAACCGAATTCCTCTAAGAATACCTTAAACGGGATGAGACATCCTATTTCTGATTGTTTTATACTAGGATATTGTTGGTGATTTTCAATGGGCAAGGTATTGTTGATTTTCAATGGGCAATGATTTTGCTTCTCTGAAACAAGTACTAGTTACATATCATTTCTTCATCTCATTTTGATTTGTACCAACTATACTTCTTATAAGATTAGTGGAGTTGAGAAATGCTGCAAAATGAATAGATTAAATGTTCTACAGAAATGTAAAAACAAATCTTATCACACCAGATAGATATTGCTGACAGTTCAACTATCTAGTTCTTTAGCATTAATCAGCTTTCCTATTTTTGGAGACACAAAGCTATATCTGTGGCATGATAGAATGGTTATAGGACAATCTTTGAAATCAAAGTATATTGGCTCATCTTTTCATTTTGTGCAGAGCCTGATACATTATATCAATAGTATACTGGTTTCCAACAAGAATAACTTGTGAGTTCCTTATTTAAGTTCAAGCCACTATTTTTCAATTAGAAGCTTATGTTAGTATAAACTCTTTTCTTCTTTTATGATATAAATTAACAGAAGTTTTTTTCTCTGAAAACATTTCTGTCCAATTAATACAGGGTAAACTGTCGCACCTGTAGGATTCTCAGAGGATTCTGCAGAATTTGAATCAGTGCCAGTTTTGTCTTTCAAGGTCTGTTTAGGAAGAGTCTCGTCTCTACTTTCTTGTGCTTCGCTTTCTTCTTCCTCCTCCTCACCATCTGGGAACTCCCACTGAGACTCGCCCGACTGTTCGTTTACATAGAAATATCGTCTATGATCCCTAAATTACAAGAAAGAAAACACATGTTTTAAAACCCATTCTCCTACAAAGACACTTCCATTTGGTCCTGTCCCAGGACAGCAGTCTGCTCTCACAGGGACGAACCTCTTCTTACGGACTGCTATTCACAAAGGCAACAAAGAGCTTTGACAATTGAGGATGGAGAACCAAGGATAATTCAAAGCTATTTGCACTGCCAGCAGCTCTGTGAATACAGCCCTGAGCCCTCTCACTCCAACACGACTTAGAAAACAGCTTTCTCTCTTTTTGTTTTTTTTTGCCAATGCATAACAGGGTTTCAAGTTTCATGAATGAAGGGACTCAATCGCCTAGAACACTAATTTCCCTTCCAAAGAAGAGAACAACGAAGTTTGTGAAAGGTGACTCTTCCCCTCTTGGACCGTGGAATTCACATTTCATATTCTTGGTATCATACACAGTGAAAGCTAAAGAGAGGGAGAGGATCTGGGAGCTGAAAAATAAAAGAGCAAAGATTTCAAATAACGAAAAAAAAAAACCAAGAAAAGCCAAATATATAAAGAAATATTTTCATCTGACCTGCTGGCAGAGGATAGTAATCTTGTTCTTCATTCACATCTTCAGCCACGAAGTTTTCCTTAACTTCACCGAGGTTAATCAGGAGTAGTTGCTTCCAGAGGTCCTGTAAAGCGCACAGAGCTCTCGCATGCGCTTAACCCCCAAGCCCGCCCTACTCCGTGCAACACTCTGGAGAGTAAAAACCAGCTTTGTCCAATCTTGGGAAAAAATCCGTTACATGGAACACTGTAAACATTGCTTTTTGTTTCTCCAATGTGTGGCGGGCACAGACTTTTTGCTTGCGGGGCTTTGCCTGCCCAGCACTGCTAACTGTAGCTGCTCTCAGTCTCCAGACAGGCTGTCACGTCGTCAGGTGGTGGTGATCACAAATCATGTCTGAGATGTCAAAGGTGAAAGGTGAAAAGGGGAGAAGAGTGCGTACCTGTCCCAGTGGCAGGACCAGCCTTTAGGAGTGGCGTTTATTTCATACTGTTTTAGTTGTTCTGCTGCATCCTGAAGTTTTCGTTTAAGGTAGTTTCCATTAAGAGCCCCTTCCCGCCAGTCTGCAATTCGAGTCTATAATCAACAGACAGAGAAATAAGTTAGACGATATTATGTCAGGACAGAGGTAAAAGGAACATAAGTCTTCTGCTCTGAAACTATATCACTGTACTCTGACAGGGGAGTAGACCAAAGAAAAATACACCCCATCTCAATTTCATGAAACAACCCTAAGTGCACTGAAGAGTTCTATAAAATGACTGGGGTCCAGTATATTTTTACATTGCCAACTCTCCATTATTTGTGAAAATGAGCTGCAGTAGTTTTTTTTGTCTTCCCCTTTGGACTTTATTTAAAATTTGGTTTTCCCACTAGTTTTACTTTCTACTTTTTTGGGAAAGATAGTTCACTTAGTTCAGTAC